AATTTGACATTGTGTGAGAATAATAATAGCTACGGAGTACTTCCTATGTGCCAGAGCCAGGCTAAATATTGAACATGCAAGAGCTTGTTTAACCTTCACCATTGAACAAATTCTGAACCACGAATCCGTGCCTTTTACAGAGGAGGGTGCTGAGGCCCAGAGGGAGATGTAGGAGAGGAGTACCCCCTCTGGTTATAAACTCTGGGCTGCTAACCATATTCCATTTTTTAGAATATTTAAAAAATATTTAATGAGAAACTTTTAGTAGAGATAATTTTTTTAATTTATTTGCTTTTTAAATTTATATATATTTTACATCATTGTCCATTTTTAAACAATATTTGCTTCCCCCAACCCCCAGGTGTAGTCCCCATAGAATTTCCTTCCCCAATGCACTCGTGCACCATCACCTCAGTCCCTGTGCTCCTCCCTCCCTCCCTCTGATCCCTCTCCCTCCTCCTTCCCTGCAGGGTTTCTCTGGTTTATAATTGTCTGTTTGTTTTTGTTTTGTTTTGTGTTGGTTATTATTTTCCCCCTTGATGTCTTATTTGATTCCCCTATATTCCTCCTATAAGTGAAACCATCTGATATCTTTTCTTTTTCCTTCTGACTTATTCCACTGAGCATAATTCCTTCTAGCTCCATCCATGTTGCTCCATATTCCATTTTCCCAAAACAGAGGGTCAGAGCAACAAGTGGTATCTATCCAATCTGTGGCTACACGATTTATAAAAAGGAAGACAGGACAATATCTAAGTGAAAAATGTTACTTGGAGACATCATCATTGTTAACCAATTTGGCAATTTGTGGGAAAATTGTCCTTCTCTTGAATTATCCTAATTGGCAGCACAGGGGTGTTCAAAGTCAGCTGATAGTAGGGATTTCCACCTATTACACTTTGGGTATTAACAGAAGAGCTAAAAATACTTGCAACAGCTTTGTCAGGTGAAGTGGTTAAGAAAATGAAAAAAAAAAAAAAGTATGTAAAACAAATGGAAGAAGAAAAGAATCAATGCCTGGGTTAAGCTTACTATCCTGGTTCTCCTTCCTAGTTAGTTGCTCTGCTTTTGACTCTGTAGTCCTGTTACTTAACCTCTTGAGCCTCAGTTTCCTCATTTTAAAAATAAAAATAATAAAATCTACTCTGTCCAACTTTGGTCAAAGAGGGGATAAAATAATGCACTTAAAGTTCCTAATGTAGTGTCTGGCTCAGAATATGGTTTCAAAACAAATTAGCTACTATTACTATCATAAATATTTGTCATAACTTAGTATGTGACAGAATGGAATTCAGAAGTACACCTGACCCTTTCTCCAGGCAGTGAGAGGTCACCGGAGAGCAGAGAAACCTGCAGCTTTCTCCCTCTGTTTTTATATCCTCGGTCAAAATCAGCCAGCTTCACTTCCTCTGTTACTACTGCCCCCTGCTGGCTGGGGATAGAAAGGCCACGGTGGAGGTGGAATTCAATTTGCCTTACTTACCTCCTCTGCTTTTCTTGCTTCTTTCTGCCAGGTCTTCAGATTTCTTTAAATAATAAAGCTGAATAACCTTAGCCTCCTATAAAAGGATGTGAGAGCATGAATATAATCATTGCCTCTTTAGTATTGTAAAATTTTATGGTTATGTAGAAACTCAATGTTAAAAAAAAAACACGACAACACAACGCTGTGATGAAATTTCTCTGGATAAATAATTAGTCATCCCGGAGACGCTCCGTGGGGGTAGTGTGCTTTCTGACTTTTCAGCGCAGACAGATGGTTTACGCATCTTCAGCATGCAGAGTTTTCCGAGGAGCATTATATAATCTCAGTGCAGCTACCAAATGAAATAAGAAATTCCTCGTTTGGCACACGGAGCTTGCATATCGAGTTCATAAACTTTAATACTTTTCCCAAGTCCAAAATCAGAGACAACCTGCTCCAAGTCAGTTTCCCATTTGCACTTAATTAGGGAGTGTGTTTTGGAGGTCAGTGAAAACCAGTGGAGTACGTTTTCATAATAACTTTCCTCACAATAAAATTATTTAGGAGGCAGCTGTCCAACTTTCTCTGGAATGAGGGCAAGAAAAACGGGGACACGGAGTGAAGTTATTGGATACCTTATCTGGAACTGCCCAAAAAGTTGTTCAAGATCCAAAGAACACAAAGTACCTTCTGGATCAGGGGAAAGGAGCCAAACTCTTTTATATCCCCAACAATTTTCATCATTGCAACTTGGTACAAATTTTCAGATTCCAAAGTTTAGAAAACAAAAGCCTTGTCAGGTCATGATCATGTCAGACTTACAGAAGGAAAGACAGCAAATATCTCTGGAAAGGAAAAGCTGAGTGTGTGGATTAGGGGACCTGGTTAGCAGTTAGGACGGTGGCCAGACTGTCACTTAATGAGTGGAGGATCTTGTGTACGTGGGTTTCTCAGAGATAAGACAATGAGCTCAAATCTATGATACTTCCCTTTGTACATGTGCCACATCATTACGGCAATAGGACAGTGTCTCATACTGTGTTGGCTTTGTTCTAAAACACTCTAGACAATAAGAAGATGAATTCTGCGTCACAAACTCTAAGTTGGAAATCGAATCCAAGAGTGTACATTTCCTTAATAGACCAAGAGATCAAGTTTTGATTGGTCAGTTTTTCGTAGTTGTTTTTCTTTCCTTTTTAAAAATAAGTTTTGCTACGTCTAAATTCCATTTGTTTTTAATAATTCCCATTAACACAGAAAGGCATGGCCACGATCTACAATTTCTGAATTATGGTTGATAAGCTTTTATCACGATAGGGAGCCTTTGGCTGCAATCTGCTGAAAAGATTTCCAAACGCCTATACAGATAATGGTTAACATTTTTGTCTTTTTCATACATACACATTCACCCATAGGACCTGAGGTAGGATTAGTTACATTGAGACTATGTAGTTTTGGTGATAAATTGTTCTGAGATGAAGTCTTGAGGCTTCTAAACCAAATTTCCTTCAAAGGCAGTTCATATGTCAAGTTGCTACATTCACCAAATGACTGAAGTGTAACCATAACCAGTGGAGCATGACCAATGCATCAGGTCGAATGCACTATTTTCTTTAGTCTCTTAATTTGATAGTGATGATAACAGGGAATTTGTCATACTTTGTTTCCAATATTTGGCAGATCATTCCGATTATGGCCTTTACAAGTTACCTATATATAAATCACCCTAAATTCAGTTCAGCTGGTATTTTTCCATGTTCATAGAGTTCCTCCAGTTTACATATTATTCCTACGATGCTTAGGTATTTGAGGTTGGCATGGTAGGCCATGTAGTGGTCTATGATGCCCCTCACTGCTCTCTACCTGCCTCCTGCTGGTGATTCGTGGGGTCATTCTCTCCCTTTTAGTGTGGGTTGAGCTTACTGATTCATGAATATGGCAGAAGCAATGGAGTGACCCTAACAACATGAGGTCACTAAAAGACCACAGCTTCTGTCTCGGGTGGCCTCTTTTTTTAAAAAAAAAGATTTATTTAATTAAACATACAAGAACTGGGGTACAGACCAGAGGTGCAGGGATGGGTGAGCGGATTCACCAGAGACAGAGTGGGAAACAGAACAGACAGACTGACTGAAATACACTACTGAGGGGAGCATTGGATGAAACAGGAGAGGTCTGCTGCGCCATGTGGTTTGCACCCTGGCCGGGGATCAAACTCATGCTGCAGAGGCTGCAGATAGCTTCACGGGTGCTGTGCTTAACCCCTTGAACCACTAGGGAGGCCCAGGTAGCCCTTTTTTGTGCTCTCTTTCTTGGCACCCTCATACCGGGGGAGGTCTGCTTCCATATTTTGTACAACTCTGTGGAGATACCCGCATACATAGCAAAGGACTGAAGAATCTGGTCAATGGTCAGGGAGCACCTGACCACCCCCATGAATGAGATGAGAAGCTTCCATCCACAGTGAAACTTGATAGGACTGCAGCCCCTGACTGACCCTTCCTTGCAGCTGCCTAAGACCCTGTGCCAGCACACAACTCACACACCCACATTCCTGACCACAGAAATTGTGAGAGCTCAAAGGTTTGCTATTCGAAACTGCTAGGTTTAGGGTACCTTGTTACCCAGCCATTGATATGGTGACCAAGCAACTGTTCCTAAGCATAGCCTGTGACCAAATACATGGATCCTTATGCTTTGACAGGCATCACAAACCATGCTTCCATCTCCTAGAGGAGTTAGTTCCACAGTCATCCAACATACCACGATACCTTATATACCATAGACAATGCCCATCCTCAAATCACATAAAGGAAAGGTGATTGAACAGTAAGTAGAAGGAAAGCTGTAGGTGAAGTGTTTTTTATTGATTTCTGATGACTTTTCCAGGATTACATTTTTTTGAGCCTTTGCATTTCTATTTCTCTAAAGTCTAGTCAGATTGTCTTTCTTTGATCACTTCCATTGTCTATAGACCCTGTGAGAAGGGGAAGGAGAGTTGTGATTTTGGTTATTCATTCCCTAAATGTCACAAATGTGTCCTAAATAGTTGTTGTGTAATATTATCACCCAGGGAGTTCTCTCCAAAGCAGATTTTTTTTTCTTTAGAAAATGTAACAATACATGTCTCAGGGTCAGAAGGATGCGGCTGATCAGAGCTGAGCGCCCGTCACATTACACCAGCATTGTTTGTCCTCTCCTCACTTCCTCAGAGGTGCACAATGCTCTTTCCTCCCCGCCCTGTAGCTCTTTCTAATATTGTTTTGGACCTTTGGGGACCTTCTATATTAAGATTGAAGGAAACTGGAAACATTATTTGTTCTTTTCTCTGAGCACTTTTCCTGGATGTGATAAACCGAGTGAATGTGGGGAGACAGCAGTGTCCCAGGAGGCTCTGCACTGGCCTCTCCCAGATGCCCTTCTCTCCCGGGGAGCAAATTGCTGCCATCTTTCTTCTGTCCTCTCCCCTGTATCCTCACACACTCTCTCATGTCCCTTAACACTCGCTGACTGCCACCCTCTTCCACAGTTTGCTGGAGAACACACTGGGGTGAAGAGAGGAAGGGAAACAAAAGCATCAGGAGATCACTGAGGAGATTCTTACCTGCCTGAAAGTTGAGGCAGCTCCATTAGCAAGCTCAGGTGGGGAATTCTCCTAGGTAATTAGTTTCCTGGAAATATGCCAGGGTACAGGACCTTCTTCCCTTGAATCCTAGGAATGTCTGAAATACCAAGCACTCTTCCCACAAAGTTATATTAAGAGGTTTAATTAACAGAAAATACTGTGTCACACATGTCAAAATTTAAATGAGAAGCAAATCAGACCAGTAAGATTTCTGAGACTGCTCTAGGCGGCCAGAACCTATTTTTGTGTCCATAAGAGAAAATAAAATGTATGTTTCCTACTTCAGTTTCCTCTGGAATTCTGCTGGTCCTGTCATTTTCTTTAGTGGTTACATTTTATGAATCTATAAGGCAAGCTATCATTACAGCTTGTTTATTTGGCTTTTCTTCAATCCACAGCACTGTTCATATTCCTTTATTGATTTTTCTAAGGGTTGAGGAGAACCTGGTTTACTTGGTGGAAGCTGCTATTTTTCTCTTACATGTTTCATGCTTTCTCCCAAGCAGGAGTCACTTCTTCTGCCCACCAGGCTCCCGAGGCCTTTCTGCACTTCAGTGGGGACTTCTCCTGATCGTCTGTAGTACAGTCGTGAATTCTAGTTTTATTGTAAGTAGAAATTAAAGCTGCCCCAAGGGTACCTAGCATTTCATCTCTCCTATTGCCAAGCCCTATTACCTCTCCAGTGTCAACAGAGAAACTTTCTTTTCAAGGTTTTGCAAATGTAGTAGGGGAGAGTCTGCACAGGGACGAGGAAATGAGTGGATGGGGACATTCATGATTCTTACTCCCCTGCTCCCTCCCTCCCCTTGCTGGACTTTGTGCTGTTCTTTAATGTCTCCCTGCAGACATGTAAATCAAAACCACAATGAGATACAACCTCACACCCGTGAGAATGGCCCCCATCAAAAAGACCAGAAATAACAAGTGTTGGTGAGGGTCTGGAGAAAAATGAAGCCACTTACACTGTTAGTGGGATGGTAAACTGGTCCAGCCCAGTGGAAAGCTGTATGGAGGACTCTCAAAATGCTAAAATTGGATCTACCATTTTTGACCTAGCAATTCCACTCTTTGAATAAAAAAAAATACTAAATCAAAGGGATGTATGTACTCCTATTCTTATTGTAACACTATCACAATGGCTAAGTTATGGAGACCACCTAAGTGCCCAAAGACCAAGGAGTATATTAGAAAAATAGTAATATACAATAGGATACTACTCAGCAATAAAAGTTATGAGCTTCCTTCCATTTTTCATAATATGGATGGAACTGGAGAGAATAATGCTAAATGAAATAAGTAAGAAGGAGAAAGGCAAATATTGCATGGTCTCACTTCTATGTAGAGTATAAAGAAACATAACAAAGGGTCAGTCAAAACAAAACCAATAATAAACTCTCAGCATCTGGCTGAAAAATTGAGGCAACCAGAGGAGGAGGGTGGTGGGGTGAGAGTGGGGAAGGGAAAGGGCCCATGGGAATATGGTGGAGGGTTGTTGGGGCAATGGTGATGGAATGCATACTTGTAGAGTTTTGAACCTATAACCCCAGAGGAGGTAAATAGGTGTCAATACTTTTATTAAACATAATTTGGGAGAAAAGAACCATCTCCCTGGGGAAAAAGCAACAGCTTGAAGGCATTTTCATGCAATAGTCATTTTACAACACTCTGTCTCTTTTGTAGCGCAAAGAGCATGCCACCTCCTAGCTCATATTATGGTGGTGGGTGAGTTGTGTGCTCCTGAAACAAAGTATTATTAAGAGATGACTTAGAGGGCCTCCCTGGTGGTGCAGGCAGTTGAGGGCAGCTCTGTGAAGCTGTCTGCAGCCTCTGCAGTACAGGTTCGATCCCGGCTGGTCACGGAGATACCCACATAGCGTGTGGGTATCTCCTGTCTCGCCCACTGCTACCTTCAGCAGTATATTTCGTCAGTCTGCCTGTTCTGTTCCCCTGCTCTGTCTCTGGTGAGTCCTCTCACCCTCCTGCACATCTGGTCTGGGTCCCAGTTCTTGTATGCATGAATAAATAAATCTTTATATAAAAAAAGAGAGCTGACTTAGAAAAATCATCCCTGCAGTTCTATATGAAAAATAACTGTTATTTGAAAACAGAGTCAGAAGATGAAATTTTATTGAGCAGGTGGGTTAAACACCAATAGAGGGAGTGTATAGTCAATCAACATATATGCATTTCTGTTGAGACAGACTCAACACAATCAACGCTAGTCACCAAATATTAAATGACTTTTGTCCTCCTTTATTCTAGCACGTACAAGGCCTTGGTGACTTTTACCAAGTCCCTTATACCTTCTAGTCATCAGTTTCTACTTCTGTAAAATGTGATGGACTGAACAAGAATCTACTCTCTCTCTGTCTAGAGCACCATTATTGGTTTCTGTGACTTTAACTTTGATTTGGACATGGGTGCTATGGGCAATCAAAATCTACAGTGACCCCCAAACCTCATGCTGGTTAATAAATTTGACCTCTTCTTAACACACTTTAAGTAGAATGACTCAATAGCAACCAAATATGATTTCATTATTCACTTTCTCTAGCTGGCCTCTTAGAACTTTTATATGTAATTAAATGACGAGTAGAGAGAAAAAGAGGCGGAGCATCAAAGGCCTTAGTCTATTCACAAATGAGATCAGTAAACAGCTCATCACTCCCCAGGAGCTTGTGGCCAGTTTCTTCCCAAAGAGTCCCACTAGAATTCTGGATCTCATCTGTAGACTGATGATTCAGCTCTAGGGATTTGGGAAGTTCAGAGGCTGGTGGTGATAAGCTTTCATCTGTGAAAATGAAGTAGTTAAGAATCATCTGCAGGAGCCGCCCTTACTGCCATGCTCTTGATGGTGGTGATGGAGCTCTGCTTTTTCTGGCCCCGAATTCTGGTGAGAATGTGTATGGGCATATGTGTAAAGATTGGATGGTTGAATTCCAGGAGGATATGTCCCATCAGTGGCCATTGTGCAGTTTACATTTATTTGTTGTTTGTTCTTGTATAAATTCAGCTGGCCCTTGTGTCCACTGAACAGCTTCTTAGTACTTTCATTTGATGAAATTAAGTAATCATGTACTTGTTTATCTAACTGAAGGACTTATTGACCATGAAATGTCATTGACATTATGTAAAGATACATGAAGGTTTACTCATGTTAATATCCAACCTTCAGGGTGAACCATCCTGACTCAAGTTCTTCTTGACTGAGAAAAATCATTATATTCCCTTAGAATCCTATTTTTCCTATTGCAGAATCCTCAAGAGAAGTAGAAGTCGCAGTCCATGGTTGTTGCCATATTAGGGAATATAATAGATGTTTTTCTGGCTCATCTTACTCAAAAGAATAATTTCTCATGCCCAAGGAATCAACAAATTTTTCTAATATCAGCATCTTCAAACAGAAAATGTTTCAAGAGGGCTTTTTATCATCTTTTTACATTCTCATTCTGCTTCATGTGACTTGTTGGCTGAAGAATAGAGTTGTATCTCTACAGTTGGCTGAGATAGTCTTAAGAACACACAGTTAATGTGTTTAGTTACCTGGGGAGGTGAGGAGGACTTGCAGAACTTGGCAACATCTGAGATTCACTCTCCAAAGTCTTCTATGTTTGCCATCTAACCCACAAATGTCTCTGAGCCATGACAAAGTCTCTTTACAGCCCCAACTTATTTCTGGGTTCCCTTGGGTTTTCAGACCATCACTTACTAGCTACATAGCCTTCAAAAAGTCTCTGTGCCTCTATGACATCAGCTCCTAGTTTAGAAAATGGAATCATATTTTTTTTTGCCCTATATACTGCACAGGCCCATTATAAGGGTCAGAAAAGATGATGTATGTGATGGGTTTTTGAAAGAAAAAATTGTGATACAAACACAAAGTAGTTGATTGTGGTGATATGAATATTTTGATATGAAACCCTCTTGGCTCAGTAACTTAGAGAGAATAAAATTTATCTTTTTACACTCAGGAGCTTTAGAAATACTTTATCTCAAGCTACAAAAACTCATAAACATTGGTTCCCTTATCAATGCTCTAAACTTTCAATAAACTGACATCATCGCGGGGGTTAAAATAAGGCAAACAGGCGGTGACCTAGATACGTGTGTGTGAGTCTGTCTGTCTGTGTGCATTGAAGAAAATGCACGTGTACCTTTGACCCAGCTACTACATATGTTCATACAATTAAAAAAGGAATAATGACTCATTAACCAAACAAGTCCTAGAAAAAAAATACTCATTTAATACAATCACAGTGCTTCCTCACTGTTTCCACTTCATTGCTGCTTATGTGAGTAAAAACAACATGCTAAATGGAGAATTTCAGGATCCCATGGGACCAATTAATGCCACGTGACTTCCTCCCTGCCTTCCATGAAAATAACTGTATTATAATGGTCTGTGATATTAATATCAGCTTTGGAAAAGTCAGGCAGTGGCTCCGTAGGGAAGGAAGTGGCCTGAGCAAAGAACTGTGGAATGTGCAGATTTAACAGACTAGAGGCCTCATCTTTTTATAAGCTACATCACATAGTGAAATGAGGTAGGGGCACCCAATGGGCCAGTGGGTTAATTAGGGTTAAAAGGCCACCAGGGTAGTCAATCTCTGATGTTGAACTCCAAGAAAATGTGGTTATTGGGGCAAGTTTTGGGAATGAGAATTCTCAGAAATAAAACCATTTCTAAAGTACTTCTTCCCTCCCCCGCCCCAATTTCTCCAGACTTCTGCCCACCACAGAGGCAGGATGTATTTTGACAGCCTCTGTTTGTGTTGGAGAGTAGACCTTGGATGAAGACTGCTGGGTGCACCTCCAAGTATGTTGAGTAGTTTGGTGGGGCTTTCCAATGTCACTAGAATCCAGGGCAGAACAAAGGGGAGGTGAGCCCCAACATTGGTAACCTTGCTCCGAGGTTTCCTTAATTTGTAGGAATCCCAGTTCCATGCCCCAGGCAAGTCCCATCCCAAGTCCCTGCGGGGTTGAAGACATTCAGGTTTGCCCTGAGAGTAGTCAAATTCTTCTTTTGAGTGTATGGCAATGGGCCTATTTTCTTGGTTGTAAATGACTGTAGTGCATTAACTACACTCAAGGGTGGTCCCAAAGCACAGTGGAAAATAAAAACTCCCCTGGGAGCAGATGTTTAGTGGTACATCTAATTACCCAGGGGAGAGCACCGAGGGCAATGATTTAGATCCAATTCCTGGACAGTGGCTAATGGTTTGGCCAGACAATCAGAGGCTTCAAAGGAAAAATATTGAAGAATTGGTGATGGGGAAGTTTAGGGAAGAAGCTGACTAAACTCCTTAGAATAAATCCAGAGTGTGAAAACATTGATGCCCAATCTGCATGCCCACCCAAACATCTGCCAATGGTGAAGCGATTTTAAATAATCAGGACAAAATGACTTTCACTGAAGGTGTCAGTCAGTCTTTCCCTATGGTTGATCCATAGAATTATTCACAAAAGAACTGCGGTGGCAAGAACGAATCTGATGCCATGCATTGGATGACAAGGATTTCCCCCCTTCACAGGACCCGGCTGGTCCCTCAGTTGAGTCTTCAGCTGGCTAAAAGTACAACCAGATCATCGGAGTGGCACTATACCCAGGAGGGCCAACCCTGGAAATCTTGTTTGTAAGATTTCCACTGAGAAGTCTGCAGTCAGTCTAATAGGGGGTTCCTTTATAGATTTCTCTTCTCTCTCTCTCTATTCCTTGTTTAGTGTTCTTTCCTTTCAGCACTTTAATTATAATCTGTCTTGGAGTGTGTCAGATTGGTATTATTTTGTTTGGAACTCTTTGGGTCTCTTGGATCAGATGTCTGGTTTGTTTCCCAGATTGAAGTGATTCTCAGTAATTATTTCTTTAAGTAAATTTTCTTAGTCCTTCTCATGTCCTGAAATGTTTTTGATTCTTTGTTTTGTCTTGTTGTACTGTTTTGTGTTTGCTACCCCTG